AGTGCCCCTCCCAGGCTCAGGCTCTGGATCCGTCACTGGTATATGACATGTATATTAATGTGTATATTAGTTTTATTTATATATATATATATATCTATTATATTTACACATATTAATGTACATTTATATATGCATAATACACAGAGAAATTTCATTAATATGTACCATATGTAATGAGCAGATATTGGCCCAGTCTTGTTGCTAGGTGCATACTCCAGCACAATAAACATATTTAAAGTGAAGAGCACACCCACAGGACTTCAAAATAAACATTTTTTACAGTTGTGCCCTACATACATTCACCATTTCAGTCCCATTAACAAGCTTTCCTTAATATGTCAAGGTGGTTGGACTGAAACATTGATTACATGCAAAGGCACGTCTGCTTAAAATAAATCTGCACTTTTGTTTATTTTGAAGCCTATGAGTGCGCTTTTTACGTTGAAGTACTTTTTAATTTTAAGTTATCTGTTCTAACTCTGTATCTACACACTATGCTGGCGCGACGCATTATGGGGCTGGTAAATATTTTTTTTCCAGGGCTGCTTTTAATTCCCAGTCCGGCCCTGTGAATAGCTATTGGACAGCACGGCTGGTTTCTGGGTCATTAAACATTTTTGGTAAGCTGTATTAAATCTGGCTACATGGGTGAATTTTCAGTAGTTTGTCGTATACATGCTGTGATTTGTATCCTTCATCGAGACCATGTTTTAAAGTCTGTTGAATAACTATAAAAATCATGAACAGGATCTATTTCTGTGTAGGTGTATAAATTAGTATCTTTCTCCTATAGTACTCATATTGCATAAGGACCATGCCTCCCCCTTGTCAGCAGGGCAGATAGTTATTATAGATAGACCAGATGCCAGGCTTCGTAGTGCATCTATGTCTGCTTTAGAGATATTCACACTGTTCCTTTCCCTGTGTTAGAGGAGATTCCTGCTATCCTTTTTTCAAGTTCTGTTAAAAGACTTTTAGAAAAGGAACTTGTGGAGGTGGTCAAAAAGACTGCAAACCTTCATAGTTTTAATTTCACTAGCCATGTTACATTCGGATTAATAGTTAAAGTAGTCTGCTAATCGTAGTTTCCGTGTAAATTTAAATTGGTCCACTTCCCAATAAAAATCATCAACGCCAGAGATTGATATTAATGTAGTCCCTTAGATAGTAGGTGTGTTTCAACATCAGTGAGAACTCTCTTACATAAGGTCATAGTGGAAATATCTGTTAGTGCAAGATGGTCTCCTTCTTTGTATGCCTTCCCTTTCTGACCCCTCCTGAAGAATAAGGATCTGTGTTTGTTGTGCCTCTGGTACGATTTAAACTGTGTAGTGGTTCTCGGCTTAATATCAGACCTGACTCTGAAAAGAAACACTGATGCTTGTCTTGCAGTTGAATGTTTAGGTGGTAATCCTCTGCCTGTAGTGCTGCTTTGTTCAGTATCAGACGCTGACTCTCCAGCCGTAATATCTACAGTAGATCTAATAGGTTTGCGAATATGGAGTCTATACGGTCTCTGTGGTAGGCGGCTGTTATCCCCTGACAGCCACTTGTAGACACTGTGCTCAGAATAATCAGTTTGTACTTTTTCCAACTTTTGATGTTTAAATATTACAAAACCTATTTTATATTGTTTTAAAACTTCATAAAGCTTTTAAATTAGTGCATTTGGTGTAGCCAATGTCACATTTATGTTTAAGTTCATACACAGATATTTTATATTTGGTAATTTTCACAACCCACCTCCTCTATGACCACCAGTCTAAGGTCCAATGAACTGCAATAAATTTTTGGGCAGACTTCTGGGTTGTTTCTATCGATAGTTGGTACATTCTTAATTCTGAAATCTCTCTGAATTTTTTTCATATGATAATAATCAGATAAATATGGCGGGTACTGTTGTACTCATGAGACATTGCTGAACACAAATACAAGTATTTTAGAGCAGTAAAACATATAATAATGATCATATCATTGGTAAAAGGGCAGTTTTTGTGTATCAAAATGCAAACAAATTATATGAACACTAATTTTGGCCAGGAATTTTGACAAAGTGGCTACTACAAAAAGACTGGACATACCTGATTTTAAATACCTTGGGTTTTCTACTTTTGCAAATGGCATGCCATAAGGAGGACCATTTTCATTCTTGGGCCGCCATACGGTTTTAAATGCAACAAAGGTCCAGCAATCCAGTCTGCCAAATTTCAAAGTGTAAAAACTGAAATGGGCAAGCCTCGCATATGACCCTGTAACTTTCCAAAACACAATGAAACCTGTACATGTGGGGGGGATTTTTGTACTTGTGGGACATCACAGCATACAAGTATCTTTTTTTTATTGCAGTAAAAGCGAACAGTATTATGACATTCACAGTTAAAATGATATGCAGAACTTGGAAAATAACAAAAGTTCTTAATTTGTCATACTTTTTTTAGATTTTTTTCATATTAAATATTCAATGTGAAATGAAAGCTGTAATTCTCCTGAACAAAATGATGTATCATATGTGTGGGTGCACTTAAAGCGGCACTGTCATGGCCGAATCCCGTTGTTTTTTAACCCCCCTCCTGCCTCCACTATATCTAACTGACCCCCTAGTCACCTCCAAATGCCCCTAAGCCCCCCATATTACCTAATTTTTATTCTTTATTTTCTGCCCCGATCTATATTCAGGGCGCTGCCATCTTTGTGTGGGTAGAGGAAGTCCCTGTGGGACACGTCATGTGCCCACACTAGATGGCACTGAGATTTCCGCACATGCCCAGTGAAACACTTGGGTATGCGAACGGGAATTTAATCTATTCATTCATTTTTCAGAAAGACGAATAAATGAATGGAAATGTCAGAAGAACAAACAAACACTGTGTATTAGTGTTTGTTTGTTCGTGCAGTTTATTACAAGGAGGGAGCTACCGGCTGGCAGTAGCTCCTTGTAATATGTAAATCCCTCCTTGTAATATGTAAAGATAGAAGCGGCAGGGAGAAGTGCTCCCCACCACTTCCTAAGTCCCCCATTTCCTACCTCACTCTGCTATACCGCAAGTAGGGGGGCACCTTATTATACCGCAAGTAGGGGGCACCTTATTATTTTTTTAGGGCCCCCACCCACCGTTCAGGGATGGGTGCTGGGGGGAGGACAGTAGGATCCCCCTTTATTGTTTTTAGGGTCCACACCCAGCGCTCAGGATGGGGGCCGGGTGGAGGACAGTAGGGGCATATTATTTACTAATACTAAGTAATCTTAACTTAGTATTAGTAAATGTGGCTGAAAGACCAATTTAGGTCTTTCAGGCTTTTAGTAGATAGCTCCCTAATACCGTGCGAATTAGGGAGTTATCTATTAAGCGGCTGCATGATGCAGCCGCGGCAATAAATAGGATCGGAGTTTCATTCATTCGAATGAAATTCCGATATGAACAAAGTGACGAATTGCGTTCTAAAACAAACGAACATACGGTTCTCATTGAGTTAGAACGCAATTCGGCAGTTTCGTCTAAAATGACAGGAACCATCGCCAGATCACAGAGGAAAGGTAAGAATTATGGGAAAATTGCTCTGACCAGCGGAATTGAAGCACACTCTGCTCCTCCGCTGGTCAAAGCTAGTCAAGCGGAGGAAACCTCCATAAGGCCTCCAAAGAGTCCCTACTTTTTCTTATGATTTTAAAGAAAACTAAAGAAGACAAGAAGAAAAGAAGAACAGATCCTGAAAGAGGGGGGGAAGAGGAAGAGATTGAGGAAAAGTAAGTTCGGCATGACAGTGCCGCTTTAATGGGGAAGAGGCAACTTATGGTTAAACAGACATATAGCTCAAATTCTCGGTCCTTAAGTGGTTAAGCAGGGTTATTCTCTAAAGAGAGAATACAAAGTTAATTTGAAATTTAAAGGACCACTGTAGTGCCAGGAAAACTAACTCGTTTTCCTGTAGTGCCAGTAAAACTAACTCATTTTTTCCTATAGTGCCCTGAGGGTGCCCCCACCCTCAGGGTCCCACTCCCTCTCGGCTGAAGGGGGAGAAAGGAGTTAAAACCTTATGCGGCGCTGGGGACTCTCCTTCTCCTTCGGTCGTCATCGGCTGAATGCGCATGCGCGGCAAAAGCCTCGCGTGCATTCAGCCAGTCCATAGGACAGCATTTTCAATGCTTTCCTATGGACGCTGGCGTCTTCTCACTGTGAAAATCACAGTGAGAAGCGCAGAAGCGCCTCTAGCGGCTGTCAATGAGACAGCCACTAGAGGCTGGCTTAACCTCAAATGTAAACATAGCAGTTTCTCTGAAACTGCTATGTTTACAGCAGGCAGGGTTAATCCTAGATGGACCTGGCACCCAGACCACTTCATTAAGCTGAAGTGGTCTGGGTGCCTATAGTGGTCCTTTAAGCACAAAAAATCCACGATGGAAAAATTGTGTAAGTCAAATATGATTCCAATTCAGTTGTTTTTGAAATTGAAATTAACTTTGAATTCACACTTTATAATCCTGTATATGGTGACGCTAAGCAGCCTAACCACTGCAGTTTACTGTACTGGTTATGTTGCCTAGAGTCTCTAGTAACAATCGCTTGTTTTATTTTAAAAGTGCGTCCAGGATAACCCTTTCTCAGCTGTATTAATAATGTAGAATTTACACTTCTGCATTAACAGCATCAATTATTTTCATTCTGGATGGCAGTGATTGTCTGAAAGTAAAGCCTTTACACAATACACAGTACTTAGCTGAACTTGGACAATTGAATTGACACTCTGAACACTGTAACCATCGCAAAAGAGTCTGTCTGACAATTAACTAACCTCCATCTTTAACACACCTGCAACTGCAAGCAGCAATATGGCACTATTTTCCCATGTACCTTTTCAGTCTAACCAATTAGCTTGTGCTGGTGCTACACTTGCAGAGCCTTGTGGATATGCAGAACGAATTAAAGGGTTACTTCAAGCTCTTTTTATGATCTTACTCTTCTGAAACATAATGTATTATGTATTATTCTTTAACCTCTCCCCTTCACCCAAAATCACAAAATCACTAAAGAAAATTAATCTATAACTTACCTGACGTCTGCAAGCACAAGCAATATACACTCCCTAACTGACGTCTGCATATAATTGCGTAATCAATAACATACTTTAAAGCCTTTCCTGGCTGAGTGCCAGACTCTACAATATGGGGCATTTTTGCATTTATTTTTTTCACACAGTATCAATATTTCTACACCATGATCATATAGTACAGACTACCTGTGTGTGTTTTCCACAGGATTATGTTGTCTTAGAACTAGTTGTTTCTTTTTGGCTCATGCACATTTGTTCTATGAAGACCCTTGAGATTTTTTACCACATAAATACTACATATTAAACAATAAGTAATGTGGAATAAAGGTCTAAAAGGGCATCTTTAACGTTCTATGATATAAACAGCCAGACAAGTAATTATCATGTGTTTTGCTCTTCAGTTTTAATTGTTCTTTTGACACAATAAAGATTATTATTTTGTTAGACATTTTGGATGAATAGGATACCTTAAACTCACGGCCGGACTGGCCAGGCATTTAAAGGCAGTGCAGCCCAGTAGAAGGGGGCGGGAACAGAGAGGGTGTGTGTCATGTCTTCAACAATGACACTCACACCACCTCAAATTGAGTATGTCAGTTTGCTGTCCCTCCAGTGCATCTTATGCAGAGAGACATGCTGAAGAGCACTCACATGGGAGCAATGCCCTGTGTTTATTTTACACACCATAGCTATGTGTTTGCCGTTGACCTGTCTCTGGTGGACAAAAGTGGGGCACAGCCAGTAAAGAATGTTGTCTCTGTGGTGCTACATGCGTCTGGAGGCTGATTGTGGGATTGCATGTGCGTAGAGGCAACTCTTTGTTGTGTAGTGTGTTTGTATAGAGCAGTCTGTGTTGTACTATGCATGGCTAGGAACTGTAGTGCGCATGTGTTTTCACTGGATGTAAAGTGTGTGTGTCTAGAAGCTGAAGAGTGTATATGTTTGTCAAGCGGTTGTATAGAGAGAGCTGTAGTGTGCATGTATCTGTATTGGGACTGTTATGTCCATGTGGGTGTGACTACGGGCGGTAGCAGGTGTGTACAGGAGCTGTAATGTGTATGTTTAAGTATAGGGGCTGTAGTTGGTGTGTACAGGGTAGTTTGTGTTTGTATTGAGGCTGTAGTGTGTGTGTGTCTAGAGACTATAGCGTGTCATTTACATAGTTTGGAGCTGTTTAGGGATTTGGAGTAGTCCTGAGAAATAAATTTTTCAAATTTAAGGTTAAAATAGCTGAACTGAAAACTTTTATTACTCTGCTATGATTCCAGTTTGGCTGCTTTGGCTTTAAATTTGTAATTCACTTTAATGAATAACCCAGTATTTTATAACTTTGTTTAATTAACTAAATATATATGGACTAATTGGATTTCTAGAAAGTCAGTTATAGTTTTTTCTTGATGTATGCTTTACACCAGAGTGTTCTGCAAGTTTTAATACCAGATGCTATGCTATATTATCCTTAATCCTACTGTGCATTTAAATTAAAGGGACACTAAAGCATATTTAGCTTAATTAAGTAATTTTAGTATAGATCGTGCCCCTGCAGTCTCGCTGCACAATTCTCCACTTAGGAGTTAAATCATTTTGTTTATGTAGCGCTAATCACACCTTCCTGCATGGGACTTGCACATCCTTCCTAAACACTTCCTGTAAGGTGAGATCTAATGTTTACACTTCCTTTATTGCATTTATTTAGAATGTATGATCTCCTGCTGTGTTAATAGATTGCTAGGCCTTGCAGGAGCCTCCTGTATTTGATTAAAGCTCAATTTACAGAGCAGGAGATGAAAACATCTAAAGTTAGTTAACATCTGATTACAATTTTATCCTTTTTAATGCAGGCTGTGCCAGTCACCACCAGGGAAGATATGACTAAAGCTGTATAGACTGGAACAATAGTGATTTAACTCCAATGGGAAGCAGTGAGACTTCAGAGGCTTGATCTATAGACAAAAAACTGCATCATTAAACTAAAGTTGTTTTGGTGTCTGTAGTGTCCTTTTAAGGATTAATATTGCTTCTCAAAGGGCTAACAGGCAAATGTGAATGTCATGCTCATAATCCCTTGAAGTGTATATCCTGGTGGATGAATATTTTCTGTAGCGGATGACACTGTCATATCCCAGGCATCCACAAATCCAACATTCATTCCCTGGAAAACTTCTCTTAATGCAAGATATTGAGTGTACCCATAAAAGTCACCAGTTTTTTCAACAGAAGCATGTATCTCTCTAGTGTTTTCTGATTTAATTATGACTTTGGTTTCTGGACTTCTACGGAAAAGACGCTCAATAGCTCTACGGATGTTAATGACTCTTCTAATATACAGAGTAAGAGGGAAATGTCTGAAGTGTTGTCCCAGCGTAATTGCAATTATGGTATCCATTCCTCCACCGAGCTGGTCGATTTGACGACTTATGTACTTGTCTTCTTTGAAATAGTAGAACCGAAAGCTTTCCAGGGGGATGGCATGCCTTTTATAAAATACATATATATCTTTGTCGATGTTTACAGCTAAAAGTGTCTTCTGCCAAGAGTTCCAATTCCTTTGGTTAAAACCAAGATAGTTTGTTACTAAAAGCAAAAAAAGGACAATGATTAGGTGAAAATCACAAAGTACTAATAGCAAGAATAATTCAACATGAATTTCAAGTATGATGCAAACATAGCTCATCTGTATTAAGAAAAAAACTTCAAATCAGATATACTTCCAGTTGAGCTATTGGTCAAATTTCACTTTTTTTATTTGTCTGGGAAGCCATGTAGGGCCAGACTCTATTGTTATCTGTGCAACTGTTGCTCAACCTAACATGCCTGTAGGTACAGCTTCACACAGTGCACACTGTGTCAAAGAAGCAACCACAGGCATGTTAGGTTGAGCAGCTGTTGGTTAAGTTGCAGTAGAGCAACACTACTATATGTTTATGCTTTGGGTGTTGAACTGTGGAACCTCTGGTAGCCCAAGTTGTAGCAACAGGAGCATGTCAGCTGTGATAACAACATGCATTCAGGTAATTTTGCAGTTCTGCATTCTGTGAATATATTTCTAATATTCTTTTACTGGTATTTTTATCTGGAGAAAAATTTAACTTTGACAATTTATTTACTAAAGTGAGATTTCAAAGTGAATTTCAAATGTAAGGCTAGAGTACCTATACTGAAATGGAAGCATAGCTGACTTAGAGAATGTTTACAGTTCAGTTATTTGAACCTTAAATTTCACTTTGAATTCTTACTTTAATAAATAACTATGACAGTAAATTGCACTCATAAAGTATTCAGACCCCCCTTTTAACATATTTTTAATGTTGCAGCCTTATACTAAAAATATATATATATATGTCACATTAATCTTTACTCAATACACCATAATGACAAGCAAAAAAATGATTTTATTAGAAGACTCTAAGTCTGATTATTACATTGATTAAATATGTTACATCTATTTCACTGGTTTATATAATATTTGTTTGATTCTTCAATGGTGTCCATACATTCTTCAATTATACTTTTGTTGGATTTGTTACAGTTTCTCCTTCAGAGAATGGTTATTAAGAATATTATATTATCATTTCATCCTATTTGGTTTCTGGGTTTATGAAGTTACTACAAAGAAAGAGGATTATAGAATGCTCACGGCACCTTTTATAACCAGTCATGGAATATGCTTAGATTGTCAGTTGTGATGTCATTGTATGTTACGTTTACCTGTTTTCCGTTTTTTTTTATTTATCTTTTTGTTTGCTGTTATTTAAGTAAAGAAAGAGAATAAGCACATTACTCACATCTGTGTCTTTAATAAAATCAAAATTTTTAAAAATCATCGCAAATATATTAAACATAAAAAAAAAATTCAAATAAGTATTCAGTATGTTATCTAACTACTAAGTTTGGCAGTGATTACAGCCTTATTTCTGCCATTAATCTTTGCAAATCCTCTTAAGTTTTGTCTGGTCAGATGAAGACCATCGGAGAACAGTAATTTTTGGGTCTATTCAGAGTTGTTCGATTGGTTTAAAGTTTGGGCTCTGGCTCACTTAACCTCTCTTGCATTGTCTTGGCTGTGTGCTTAAAGTCATTGTCCTGTTGGAAGGTGACCCTTTGGCCCATAGGGTCATTGTCCTGTTGGAAGGTGACCTTTTGGCCCAGTCTGATGTCCTTAGTGCTCTAAACCAGACTTTCATTATGGATATCTTTGCATTTTGCTGTTTTTCAGTTTTCCCTTAACCCTGGGACTGGGACCAGTCTCCCAGTACTTGTCATTAGATTTGAGCATTCATATTTGGACAAATGTAAAATCAGCATTTTCTTCCATTCGTTCTAATACTGAATAACAAATGGGGAGCCGAGTGAAAGAACAAACTAATGGACACTGAAAAAAATTCTTCTATGTGCCATTCATTTGTTAATTCATGTACAATTCATGTTTGGTCTTTTCTTTTACACTGTCTGCTATTCAAAAAGATGAATGCATGAATGGCTCATTCTTTCGGTGCTCGTTCATTAGTTCGGCTTACTCCTACCAGATATGATGGGAGTGTGCAGAAGGAACAAATGGTGCACTGAAAGAATGAGCCATTCATGCAGTCTGATGAATGCATAGGTTAATTAATTAATATTGTGGTAACCTATAGTTCCTCCCAGCACCCACCCAGTGCCTGCGGGTGGTGGCCCTAAGTAATAAAGGGGGGGGGACCTATTGTGCCTCCACAGCCCCTACCCATTGATGGCGTGCAGGGGCCCTAATTAAAAATGTCAGGGAACCTATTGTTACCCCCCCAAGACACCACCATTAGCAGTGACTAGAGATCCACAAGCCCCTAGTTACCCACCATTTTTATGTGTCTCAAAGAAAAGAGTCTACACATTTATATTAGTTTTTTTTCTTTTTAATAAATGTTTAAAATGTTCATAAATGGTTTTTATTTGTCATTATGGGGTATTCAGTGGAGAATAATGTGATAAAAAATACTTTAAACATTTGTAGCATAAGGCTCTACCAAAAAAATAAAAATTAAGAAATATAACTAGTGTGTGTGTGTGTATATATATATATATATATATATATATATATATATATATACACACACACACACACTAGTTATATAATATATATATAATGCACCTGGAAGGAAATAAAACTAGTGTTTGTTATTGAAGTATTCAAGAAATAAACTATGTAACACATCAAACATACTTTTAATGTCATTAAAATGCATTACAAACTGGCGTAGCGTGGAATCACCCAAGAGAAACAACTTCTTTCCTTGAAGACAGTTGGTAAAGTTATCTCCTGTTTCATAGTTGGTCATGTTGCAATAAACTGGATTCCATATATTTTTATAGAAATATCCACTTGGAATAGGAGATTCCATTCCCGTTTCACATTTTGGCAATGAGATGCTTTTGTGTTCTAAAAGCAGAAAATCAATCAATGTGATATATAAATATGTGCACTTTATCAGATAGTGTCATTGGGTAGCTGGGTTGCCATCAGAAATATTGGTGGACTCCATACAGATCCATTTTGCAAGGTCCAGTAGCACACATCAATAGACATATGCACACATACAAATAAACACAGACATGCATTTCTAAAAAAAAAACCACACAAATACACACTGCCAGACACTCACAAAGATTCCCCCTACAGCTACACGCATTTCCAGACATACATTTCTACTCTCTGATGCACACAGATGCACACAAATACACTCAGCTACAAACACATAGACGCACACTCAGATACACAAATATGCACACACTTAGATATATGCACAAATATTCTCGGATACATGCTGTCAAACATACAGACAAACATAAACAGACCAGTCAGATAAACATAGAGTCATATGAACAAACACACACTCATACACAAACCATCTTAGTCCTTGTCATAAACACCTCTAGTCCTTATCAGACAGACCCCCCCCCCCATTCCTGCAATGCCCCTGTGACGAGTCATGTCAAAATTAGGTCATGTCCTTAATTTGATAGCAAAACTTCATGACAATAGAATTATAAAATTAAAGATGTAGCGGTTATAACCAAAACAACATATGTTTACACTTCAAAAACAAAATAATGCAATAGAAATAGGTAGTTATTCTCACGTGCTTCACCCATTTTAGTGACAACTGAATGTGCAAAAATAGTGTATTTTAACACACGCGTGGGGGGAGGGGGGTGCAGGGGGAGCGATAGTGCCAGGAATACAGATTTGTATTAATGGCACTATAGTATCCCTTTAGTGGTGTAACATTTTAATAAAATGCCTATTATTTACTTCTCATTTATCTGTTTTGGTTCTAGCCTATTAAATCCTCAGTCTTTTTTACAGTGTCCCTATGGCCCTTAGTGCTGCAATATTAAACTTTGTAGTTCCAGAGAAACTGCAATGTTTACATTGCAGCACTAAGTCAGCCTCTAGTGGCTGTCTAACAGACAGCCACTAGAGTATTTCCTGGTTTGAAATGGACGTTTGGCCCGGTATCTGACCCTGCATGAGGACCTCCAGCGTCAGATTTTTCCCCATAGGAAAGTATTGATTTAATGCTTTCCAATGGGAAGGTCTAATGCGCACACAGCATTTGCTGCGCATGTGCATTAAAGCCTGCTCGTCGCAGGAGTGAGGAGGAGCTTAGACCCAGTGACGTAGATATCGGCGCTGGGGTCAGGTAAGTAAATAAAGGATTTTTTTAACCCTTTATTTACTCTAGAGGGTCATGGGAGGGAGGAGGGGAGGCAGGGGGAGTGATAGTGCCAGGAACAGAGCTTTGTATTCCTGCCACTATAGTATCCCTTTAAAGGTGTTACAGTATTTTGAACTTATTCACAAAAATATTGTGAAATAGCCCTAACTGCCTAATTTTGCAAATTATACACCATGGTGGGTTTCATTTGAATTTTGGGACTGATTTTCTGCACCAAGGTTACATGAGCCTAGTAAAACAATCTGTTAAAAAGGTCTGAAAAAAAGGTATGCAATGATGGGGGTCACAGGTATGTTGCAGCTGGGGCTCCTGTTTTGTTGCAAAGATGACATGGATGCAATAAATATATCTCTAAAACATGCTAATCTGAATCCTAAAAAATTTACTCTTTAAGAAACACTCCAAATACCATAACCACTGGCGTCCTCCCAGGATATGTAGTCAAACCATTTGCAAATGGTTTGACAACTTTGCTGGTGTCCACAATGTCCTAGTCACAGCTTATAGGACATAAGAAAGCTACTGGACAGAAAGTCTATTAACGCTCCTGAGCCACGCCAATGAGCTAAGGCCTGCACTGACGGACTAGCTCAGTGCAGAGAGCTACTGGCTGTTTCAGGTAAGTTGTTAATTTATCTGCAAAAAGTTCAATTACTAACTCTAGGAAGGTTCCTGACACTTTTAGAACCATAACTAATACTTTAACTTTCATTAAAATGTTAAAATACAACAAGGGATATTGCTAGCTGGACATAAAGTGTTTATTTTTGGGGTGGGGGATTGAATTAGCCCACATCTGTATTATGATATCCAGAGAAAAGTGAACGTTGTGTTTGCATGTGTGTGAAACACACTGAATGAAATGTATCCACCTATATACAGTTGCAAGAAAAAGTATGTGAACCCTTTGGAATGATATGGATTTCTGCACAAATTGGTCATAAAATGTGATCTGATCATCATCTAAGTCACAACAATAGACAATCACAGTCTGCTTAAACTAATAACACACAAAGAATGAAATGTTGCCATGTTTTTATTGAACACACCATGTAAACATTCACAGTGCAGGTGGAAAAAGTATGTGAACCCCTAGACTAATGTCATCTCCAAGAGCTAATTGGAGTGAGATGTCAGCCAACTGGAGTCCAATCAATGAGATGAGATTGGAGGTGTTGGTTACAGCTGCCCTATAAAAAACACACACCAGTTCTGGGTTTGCTTTTCACAAGAAGCATTGCCTGATGTGAATGATGCCTCACACAAAAGAGCTCTCAGAAGACCTACGATTAAGAATTGTTGACTTGCATAAAGCAGGAAAGGGTTATAAAAGTATCTCCAAAAGCCTTGCTGTTCATCAGTCCACGGTAAGACAAATTGTCTATAAATGGAGAAAGTTCAGCACTGCTGCTACTCTCCCTAGGAGTGGCCGTCCTGTAAAGATGACTTCAAGAGCACAGCGCAGACTGCTCAATGAGGTGAAGAAGAATCCTAGAGTGTCAGCTAAAGACTTACAAAAGTCACTGGCAAATGCTAACATCCCTGTTAGCGAATCTACAATACGTAAAACACTAAACAAGAATGGATTTCATGGGAGGATACCACAGAGGAAGCCACTGCTGTCCAAACAAAACATTGCTGCATGTTTACAGTTTGCACAAGAGCACCTGGATGTTCCACAGCAGTACTGGCAAAATATTCTGTGGACAGATGAAACCAAAGTTGAGTTGTTTGCAAGAAACACACAACACTATGTGTGGCGAAAAAAAGGCACAGCACACCAACATCAAAACCTCATCCCAACTGTGAAGTATGGTGGTGGGGGCATCATGGTTTGGGGCTGCTTTGCTGCGTCAGGGCCTGGACGGATTACTATCATCTAAGGAAAAATGAATTCCCAAGTTTATCAAGACATTTTGCAGGAGAACTTAAGGCCATCTGTCTACCAGCTGAAGCTCAGTGGAAGATGGGTGTTGCAACAGGACAATGACCCAAAGCATAGAAGTAAATCAACAACAGAATGGCTTAAACAGAAGAAAATACGCCTTCTGAAGTGGCCCAGTCAGAGTCCTGACCTCAACCCGATTGAGATGCTGTGGCATGACCTCAAGAAAGCGATTCACACCAGACATCCCAAGAATATTGCTGAACTGAAACAGTTCTGTAAAGAGGAATGGTCAAGAATTACTCCTGACCGTTGTGCACGTCTGATCTGCAACTACAGGAAACATTTGGTTGAAGTTATTGCTGCCAAAGGAGGTTCAACCAGTTATTAAATCCAAGGGTTCACATACTTTTTCCACCTGCACTGTGAATGTTTACATGGTGTGTTCAATAAAAACATGGCAACATTTCATTCTTTGTGTGTTATTAGTTTAAGAAGACTGTGATTGTCTATTGTTGTGACTTAGATGATGATCAGATCACATTTTATGACCAATTTGTGCAGAAATCCATATCATTCCAAAGGGTTCACATACTTTTTCTTGCAACTGTATGTAATTCACCATTTCTATTTCAACAAGCAGAATGTGTTGGTATGGGAATCCCTGCAGTGTGAAGAAACATCTCCCTATAAACACAAATTATCAGATGTAGGGAAAATTAGCTGTACGTTAACTCTCCTGTGGTTGGCTCTTAAAGTCTGATTTTCCCATTACATGAGAGTTAGATGTTTAAAGGACCACTATAGTGCCAGGAAAACAAACTTGTTTTCCTGGCACTATAGTGTTAATAGGTTAATAGGTCCCCCCACCCTCATGGACCCTCATGGACTCTCCTCTTCCTACCGACGTCATCGGCTGAATACACATGCGCTGCAAGAGCCGCACGCGCATTCAGTCAGTCCATAGGAAAGCATTCTCAATGCCTTCCTATGGACGTCAGTGTCTTCTCACTGTGAAAATCACAGTGAGAAGATCGGAAGCGCCTCTAGTGGCTGTCAGTGAGACAGTCACTAGTGGCTGGATTAACCCATATGTAAACATAGCAGTTTCTCTGAAACGTCTATGTCTACAGCACGCAGTGTTAACCCTAGATGGACCTGGCACCCAGACCACTTCATTAAGCTGAAGTGATCTGGATGCCTACAGTGGTCCTTTAACACTCAAGGATTCAAATTGTATTACATCTGATTTTGAATCAAAGTGGCATACAGATATTGATTTGGCTTTGCATATGTCATATTTAGTTTCTTAAGACAAAACAAATTCTTATCAGATTTGCAAAGAATGTACTTACTTTTACAGTCTTCAACATTTATGAACTTGAATTCTTTGGAAATTTCTACTCCAATATTTGACCTTCAAGAAAATTAAATGAAGGTTGTTATTTTGCTTTTTAAAAGGCAACATTCATAGTTTATGGAATCAGCAGGTCACCAGTGTGATTAACCTGTACATCATGCAGTGGCTAGGGTTTTTATGAAGATTTACTTTTTTTAAATTCAAAATCTGCTTATCTATTTGCTTTTTTTTAAAGGAGCTTTCCAAGCACCATAACCGCTCCCTGCCTGAAAGATAGTTACATGGTCTATTCTGATGCTGCAGTGCAGAGTGCAATGCTGGTCTTAGTCTATTACCAACACCCCAGACAACAATTCCTGCACTGTACAACAGCAGAGGAAATGTGAGGCAGTGTGGACGGCATCTGGGACCAAACTTTGGTATTAAACTGTTCCAAAACTGTTCAACACCTTGTAGTAAAATGGCACCCAGGGGCTATAGCTCCCAAAACAACTACTTCTGATTTTCCGATTAGTTTTTTTTTTTTTAATGGATTGTTGCTTTAAGTAGTCAAGTCTTCAAATCTACCTCCTCTTATTTTGCATCAGTAAGTAATCAGAAGAGTATAGTAGCATTTAGTAAAATATAAAACAAGGAGACATTAATAGCCTTGAAATGTAATAATAAAACTGCAGAAAACTCACACTAAAAGAAAAAGGACACATTTATAATATCTAGCTCATTGTGTTAAGGAATTGCAAGTCAACACTGCTTTGCAAGTACACACATAGAGAAAAGCATTAAGGTTAGGGAGCCCTACAAATGTGTAAGTGGTTGTGGTGGCAAGAGAGGGATGCTTACAAATGACTGAAGTGCTGAAGTTTCGAATTGACGAATTTCCAAATTGCAATGTCCCGAATTTCAGAAGTGCTCAACCGAACCAAATATTTTGCCCATACAGATAGCTAGCAATAACATGATTTGAAATATTAACATGTGACGGCAAAAAAGAACCATAAGAACAATGTGATGGCAAAAATGAATCATCTAGTCTGCCCAATTTTCTAAATATTTTAATTAGTCCCTGGCCTTATCTTATAGCTAGGATGGCCTTATGCCTATCCCACACATGCTTAAACTCCTTCCTTAACCTTTACCACTTCAGCTGGAAGGCTATTCCATGCATCCACTACCCTCTCAGTAAACTAATACTTCCTGATATTATTTTAAAACTATGTCCTCTTGTGGTGTTAGTTTTTACTTATTTTAAATAAAGTCTCCTACTTTACTGTGTTGATTCCCCTTATGTATTTAAATGTTTCTATCATATCACCGCTGTCTCGTCTTTCCTCCACGTTATACATGTTAAGATCCTTTACCTTTCCTTGTAAATTTTATTTTATTAATTATGAAAGAAAAACCGCACAAGGTAGTTTCACAAGTTCAGCCATATTAATAGCTTCTCCAGTCAACAACCAACAGCAAGAGCCTTAGACATCATATCATCGCTCATAGAGTGGAATACCAGTCAAAGAGCAGATTGATGAACATTGACCATGTGGTACACATGTCCTTGGTCAAATTGGTAAAACCAACCCCAAGGCATTTTTTAAGTACATAAATTCTAAAAAAAAAACAAAATGAAAGTGTAGGTACACTAAAAACTGAAATGGGGGTGTTAGTTAATGAAGACCAGGAAAAGGCAGGAATTTTAAATAACTATTTCTCCTCTGTATATATTAAGAAAGAACCCATGGCAATAGATGTGCAAATGATTGCTACTAAAAACTTGCAGAATAATTGTAATTGGTTAACTCAAGACAAGGTGCTGCAGCAACTAAAGAAAGTTAATATAAACAAAGCTCCAGGGCCTGACGGTATCCATCCACGTGTACTTAAGGAACCAAGTGCAGAAATAAGTGAACCTCTGTTTTTAATCTTTCAAGATTCTTTTCTTTCAGGAAGTGTTCCGGAGGATTGGAGGAAGGCAGATGTGGTTCCTATATTCAAAAAGGGTTCAAAATCCTTGCCTGGAAATTATAGACCCGTGAGCTTAACTTCTGTGGCTGGTAAAATATTTGAAAGGTTATTAAGGGATAATATTCAAGAATTCCTTGAGAAGAACATGGTTATCAGCAAAAATCAGCATGGTTTTATGAAGCACAGGTCATGTCAAACTAACTTGATTGCGTTCTACGAAGAAGTAAGGAGAAGTATAGATCAGGGTGTTGCCGTGGATGTGATCTATTTGGATTTTGCCAAGGTATTTGATACAGTTCCACACAATAGTGTTCAAACTCAAGGAAATCGGTCTAGATGAAAATGCTTGTTCTTGGGTAGAACATTGGCTTAAAAACAGAGTACAAAGAGTTGTCATTAATGGTAAATTTTCAAGATGGACAGAGGTGGCAAGTGGTGTCCCTCAGGGGTCTGTTCTGGGGCCCCTTCTATTTAACATGTTTATAAATGATCTTGAAGACCGCATTGAAAGTCATGTTTCAGTGTTTGCAGATGACACCAAACTTTGTAAAACAATACAATGTGAGCAATATATTACTTTGCTGCAGAGGGATTTAGATAGACTGAGGGACTGGGCACTCAAATGGCAGATGAAATTTAATGTTAAAAAATGCAAAGTTATGCACTTCGGCGTAAAGAATACACAAGCAACGTATACCCTTAATGGAAGTGAATTAGGGATAACAACACATGAAAAGGACTTGGGAATTGTTATAGACAACAAACTATGCAACAATGTGCAATGTCAATCAGCAGTGGCCAAGGCCAGTAAGGTATTGTCATGCATGAAAAAGGGCATTCATTCTCAGGACAAGAATATAATTTTGCCTCTTTATAAATCACTGGTAAGACCCCATATTGAATATGCTGTGCAATTTTGGGCACCTGTTCTAAAGAAGGATATTATGGCACTAGAAAAGTGCAGAGGCGGGCTACAAAATTAATAAAAGGAATGGAACATATCGGCTATGAAGAAAGGTTAACAAATTTAAACCTATTTAGTTTAGAAAAACGTCGCCTGAGAAGGGATATGATAACATTATACAAATATATTCGGGCCAATACAAACCATTGTGTGGAAATCTATTCACAAACCGGACTTTACATAGGACACGAGGCCATGCGTTTAGACTGGATGAAAGAAGATTTCGTCTAAGGCAAAGGAAAGGTTTTTTTACTGTAAGAACAATCAGGATGTGGAATTCTCTGCCTGAGGAAGTGGCTTTATCAGAGTCCATACAGATGTTCAAACGGCTACTAGATGCATACTTGCAAGAACAGAATATTCAAGGATATAATCTTCAATGTAGGGTAATAACTGCTTGATCCAAGGATAAATCTGACTGCCATTCTGGGGTCAAGAAGGAATTTTTTTCCTAGCTTGTTGCAAAATTGTGCTTCAAACTGTTTTTTTTTTTTTGCCTTCTTTTGGATCAACAGCAAAAAACAAATGTTAGGTAGTCTGAACTTGATGGACGGAAGTCTCTTTTCAGCTATGTAACTATGAACTATGAACATCAGAAAATGAAGGATAGTGGCCACAGCAGCCAATACTGGTTCCAATTTTCATTCCAAGTATCAACCAGTCCATGCTTCCCAAGTACTTTGATAAAAGCACCAAGCTTCTGTAACTTTTGGGTCTGCAAGATGGATCAGAAATGTTGGCAACCGTCTATGGAAGTTAATGGAGATCAACAGTGGAGGAGGAGTTTCACTGTTGTGAGGTCCAGAATGGGGTCACCAAGAACACCATCCCTGATTGGTAACATATGTTCAGGAGAAATACAGAGATAAGTGAAAGGCGGAAAGCATAATGTCATGAACCTGACCAGTTTTGTAAAAATGCATTGATCAAAATATTTCAGGCAATCCTTGCAAATAGTATTGGGGGAAGACTCTGCTGGGTCCATTTGGCTCCAGTAGAAAGATTTCTACAAAGCCCTCCAAGACCATATGTGCTTGCATTGCACTACTACTAAGTTACACAGTGCCCACATTAAAGATGGCGGTGTGTGCGTGTGACGTCACACTGTCGATGCACACGCAGGTAACGGGTAATTTGAGAATAGCTTGTCCTATTCAGCCGGAAAACTCGCGCTCCCAAGAACCATACAGGAACTGGCCTCCTGGTACACCTCAGAATAGCTTTCTGTTATTGTCCAAAGCAATGATGTGCGTTTCTCATGTGATGCTTTGGTTGATTCTGGTGCAGTCGAGAACTTTATAGACCAACAGTTTGTTACCAACCATGTAGTTCCGCTCACAGAAAGAACTGTCCCAACCTCTGATCACACAAGAAACTTTACCCCAACAGTAGGGGCTTTACACAAGGAACATATCACCTTCCAAGTTATTTCATCTCCTTCTTGTCCCATAATACTTGGTTTTCCATGGCTTATCAAGCACACTCTGCGTATTGATTGGGTTAAGGGAGAAATATTAGAATGGAGTCGTGAATGTAGACATGAGTGTATTCTTATGTCTAGTGTATAACCCATTTCTAAGCGATTGGGCACGGTGAATGTACCTACTGGCATTTCTTTCTACTGACGTGCCTTTCCCATATTTGGAGGTCAAAGAAGTGTTTAACAGAGTACATACTGAAGTTCTACCTCCTCATAGAACTTACGATTGCTCCACTGATTTGCTTCCTGGCACTATACCTCCTAAGGGTGGTGTGTATACCTTATCCCCTCAAGAAAGCAAAATCATGGAGGAATACATAAACAAGTCCTTGTCTAAAGGTCACATACTGTGACAAATGCTCCTTCCCATGAACGTTTGCCATGGACTACTGGAGCTGGCCTGTTTAGGAGTGAACCTTCCCAGCTGCCATTAGCAGCTTTCCCTCGGTGCTCCTGGTTCGAATGGAACCGAACGCTAGCTCCCTGGCGGCCATTCACATGAACCAAACCCTCGAATTCTCCTCAGCGGTACTTAGCAGCGGCCGTACTGGAATAAATTTTGGCATGAGGACTTCATGGGTTCTCGGTCACTTCAGCAGCACTTAGCCGCGAATGTTATGGAACTATTTTCAGCATGAGGTGACCGTGCGGTTCCCGGACAACTTGGTCCGGGGTTTTGAACCACTGCAACCTGCCAGGAGAGTGCTTTTTGGAGAGAATGCTAAGGGGAACAAATGCTACCTGAGAGCCAGAAGGAGCACCCTGCATTTCAGACGCAGGAGCTCCCAAAGGTTGACCGGCAAAAGCACCAAACGCCCTGAAACTATTTTGGGCATAGGCCCACGTTAGCACCCGGTCAGAACTTTAACACGGTGGCATTTCCCCTACACTGCATGGATCTAAACTCTTTTTTGGAGAACTTGTATGTTTTTATGATGATATGGGGTATTTTTTATGTTTTTGTGTTTGCCTCTCTGTTCCTGGGAGATAATTAGCTTACCAGTCTTTAACGTAATTATCTCCCAGGCCCAGAGATTCCTGGGAGGGGCTTGTGTTGAATACAATAGATTCCTGCTGGGGTCTGTGCATAAAAGGATTAGTTTGGCTCATTAAAATCAGTTGTTCTCTCAGAACTATGTGTCATCTAGTTACTGGAAGGGGCTAATCACTGCTCAGAATCTTGTTCCAGCTTGTGAAGGATTCAGCGGGGAAAGTCCTTGTAAGGACTAGAGCTCCCAGGGCTGTGTGTCGTCCAGTCCCTGGTAGGGAATAGAGCTAGTCCCCTATCCTGTTCCAGAACGGAGAGGCTCTAGGAGAACCCCAGTCAAGCCACGGCGACTGGAGCAGAAGCGCTGATGTTTTCCCTGGTTCCAGCTGGGAAGTGGTCCTTGTCGGAGGTACCCAGCCGGGGTACAGGGAGCTCCGCTACACATAGCCAGATTTTCTCCAGTCGGTGCTGGTTTCTTTTTTGTATCCAAGAAAGATGGAGATCTGTAACCATGTATTTATTATAGGGCTTTAAACAAAATCACAACAAAGAATGCCTATCCTATACCACTCATATCCAAATTATTTGACAGACTCCAAGGGGTCGTGCCCTTTGGCTTATGTTATGCTACAGCTGTGTTTCAGTATCTTATAAACAATATTTTGTGTTGGTGTACTTTGACGATATACTCATATATTCTCCTGCTTGCTATACTCCCCATAGGAATGTAAAACAAGTTTCACAAACTTTACTAAAACATGGGTTATACTGTAAACTTGAAAAGTGCCTCTTTGATCAGACATAGGTTCAGTTCCTGGGTAATGTGATTTCAGCTTCTGGTTTCATTAAGTTTCTGGTTTCATATTCTGCCTTTTTTTTCTAATTATTATCGTAGGTTCATAAAAGGGGTTCTCTATAGTTATAGCCTCCATAACTAACCTAAAACTATTACAACTTAACACTGTGTAAACTCTCACATATGGTCACAGGAAGCAAAAGAAGCATTTGATACTCTCAAGACCTTGTTTGCTTCTGCTCTCATATTTGTGTACCCTGATGCTTTTATTCTAGAGGTTGATGCCTCTGAAACTGGAGTAGGTGATTATCTTTCTCAGAGGGAAAAACAGTACACCCCTTTGCACCCTTGTGAGTTTTTCTCCAGAAAGCTGTTGCCAGCAAACGGAATTATGATATTGGCAACAGAGAAACGTTAGCTATTATCCTGGCCTTAAAGGAATGGCGACATATTTTGGAGGGTTCTAAAGATCTACTTTTGATCATCACTGATCACAGGAATCTGACTTACATAAGAGAGGCCAAGAGGTTGTCTTAAAGACAAGCCAGATGGTCTCTGTTCTTGTCACATTTTAATTACGTGATTACATACAGACCAGGCACAAGAAACGTGAAAGCTGACACCCTATCTTGGCAATATGATTCTGAGGAGGAACAGGAGCAAGAGATGCCCCCTATTATTCCACCGAATACATTATTGCCGCTACTGTTCTTATGTTATCTTCACCTCTCCTTAGTGTTATTGTGACAGCTCAGACACAGGCTCCTAGTGGCAATCCACATGGTAAATTGTACATACCAGTAAAGGAAAGAAAGGAAATATTAAAGGGTGTTTCATGATAATGTAACAGAAGAGCATCTTGTTATCAGCAAAACGATATTTGCTGTCACCAGAATGTTTCAGTGGCCTTCTCTTAAAAGGGATATAAGAGAATATGTTACAGCTTGCACGGCTTGTGCTGTTTCCAAAGTTCCACATAGACAGCAAGGTGGTTTGCCACAACCATTTTCTATACCTCACATTCCATGGTCTCATCTAGCTATGGACTTTATTGTTGATCTTCCAGTCTGTAAAGGTTTTAACACTATCCTAATGATCATAGACCATTTCACTAAGATGGTGCATTTAATTCCATTCAAGAAGCTACCTACCGCCCTAGAACTCGTACACATATTCATAAAGGAGAAATTCAAGTTACATGGTTACACTGAATATAGTGTCTGACAGGGGTTCTCAATTTGTGTCTAATTTTGAAGGGCTTTCAGCAAGCAATTGGGTATAGAGTTATCGTTCTCCTCGTCCTATTATCCTCAGACTAACAGTGCGGCCGAAAGAGCTAAGATGGCAGGTGCCTACTCTGCAGCAATATATCGGCAGGCGGCGAGGGAGCGCTGGCTGTGCTGATGATCTTCCTGCTCCCTCGCGTGCCCTCTCTAATGATGCCGGGAGCCGGAATATGACGAATTACGGCCACACATCCCTATACAGTGCGAGGGAGCAGAGAGGAGCAGGATAATCATGAAAGCCACTGGACCCCGGGGAGAGGACCCAGAGGACTCAAGGTAGGATCAACAAGCAATAAAATTAATTTGTGAATGTGTGTCTGTCTGTCAGTAAGTGTGTGTGTCTGTCAGTGAGTGTGTGGGGGGGATATAGAGATTTTATTTAATGTATAGTAGTATTAAAAAAAAAAACAACATTTGCTACCTGCACCCCTCAAACTCTGCATGTATTCAGCAGTCTGTGTGGGTATTCAGTAGTCTGTGTGTGTGTGTATTCAGCGAACTGTGTGTATGCATTCAGCAGTCTGTGTGTATGTATTTAGCAGTTTGTGTGTGTATGTTTGTGTAACGGATCGCCTGGCACCCCGACTGGGTACCTCCGTTGAAGGATGCTCCTAGCGCTTCCTGAGGACTCCAAGCACTCTGGCAGACACCACAATCACCGAACCGGAGAAACCAATAAATTCTCCCAAGCATATGAATGCTGTAGACCGTTGAATAGGAACCATACGAATAGGTTTACTCTCCTAGCAGTCAAACTGGAACAGCATACAATGAATCCTTCCCCCAATAATGAGACGACACTTCACTTTGAGGGTTAAACAGGAACTCCCTGTACTGTCACATACAGTCTCTTTTATTCCCAATCCACAAACATAGTACAGCCCACAGGGCGTTACAAAACAACCAATCAATCCGTACAATACACCCAGACACTCCCACACAAAATCCTCTCCTCTGCAGGTGATATGATTACTGAACACAATGGGTAATCTCATTATCACCGGCAGAGGAATACAGTTTTTACACAATATTTATAACTTCTAAAATATACATGTCACAAACATAAAACATACATTTTCATAATCAATCCATTCAGGGGAACAACATATTAAAAATGGCACGAATCAGACCAGGGGTTCAAAAGTTAAGGGAAAGTCCTTTGTGACTAAATGAAGTATGGCTTTCTGGCCCAAACCAGTTTCAGAGTCTTCTATCCTGGAGAGTAATTCAATTATCTCCCAGGATAGACACAAGACTCCATTAAGCACATGGTTGCAAAAAGACACAAAACACTTTAAAATACATAAAGTCACATTTTACACATAACACACAGACATTTCACATATCCCCAGATAGCTGGGATCTGAGTGCACATTATTAGATGAATGGCACTCAGATCACACAAATAAGCCTTTCTGCAGGGGAAATAAACAGTTTAACCTGCAGGGCCATAGTCCAAAGGAAGCAGGCGAGCAACCAGGCTTCTCCAGTTCACAGTGGCGAGGTTGGTTTCGCCACACTTCTCCCCTTTACCAACTAGACTAACAGGGTATCTGACCTCCTGCCGGTCAGTGCTCTGGTTAGTCCAGCAACCCACCCACAAAACAGAAACAGCAGTACAGCCCACCCACAATAACTGGTTACTACACCTGGGTAGAGGAGAACTTTGTCCATGTCCAGGTGCCTCACCACGACTGTGTGGGCAACTGTTAGGCTGCTTTGGTGGGTTGCTGAGTGGGCAGAGACCAGCGGTACTCTGCCCTGATGCCAGTGCTACCACGGAAGTAGCCTGGTGGGAGCCTGGTTGTGGGAGGGAGAGACCGACTGTCTCCCCTCTGGATACACCGCTCTGTGGCTGGGGAACAGGACCGACTGTCCCTACCCCTTGTGCTGTAAGTGCAGAGACTACGGTTCCATCTGCACTGTTGGGGGTGTAACATCTCCCCTTGCTGGGTTAGGCTGCCGCTGGAGAGAGGGTGTAACAAGCTCCTCTCTCTGAACTGTAAACTGCCACTGGGGAGAGGGGGTATCAGGCTCCTCTCCCTGACACTCTCTCTGCTGGTGGAGAGGGGGACCAGCTGTCTCCCCTTTCATTATTTTGTCCTGTGATTGGGGTGCGAGACTGATGGTCTCTGCTCCCTGCAGGACACTCTGCCGCTGGGGAGGAAGGACGGCACCTTCAGCTCCCTGGGGTACACACTGCCTTCTGGGGAGGGCCCGGCACCTTCAGCTCCCTGGGGTACACACACTGCAGCTAGGGGAGGAAGGGCGGCACCTTCAGCTCCCTGGGGTACACACTGCCGCTGGGGAGGAAGGCCGGCACCTTCAGCTCCCTGGGGTACACACTGCCGCTGGGGAGGAAGGCCGGCACCTTCAGCTCCCTGGGACACACACGGCCGCTGGGGAGGAAGGACGACACCTTCAGCTCCCTGTAGCTCACACTGCCGCTGGGGAGGAAGGACTGCACCTTCTGCTCCCTGGGACACACACTGCCGCTGGGGAGGAAGGACGGCACCTTCTGCTCCCTGGGATACATACTGCCGCTGGGGATCTGGGCTGACTGCCCAGCATCCCTGTAGGGCTTGTAGAGAGACCTCGGTCCCATCCCCACCTGCCAGCTGGGTGTCTTCCCAGGACAAGTCAATAAGGTCTTCCATCTCTGGGGCTGGTTGGGACATATGTGGTACAGTACCAAAGTCTCCTGATAACAGGCTTGGTTGCTGGGGAGGAGGAACTAAACTCAATGCTTGCGGTGGCATACAGTCAATAAGCCCCATCATGTCAAAGACAGGCGGCGTTATACGTTGGAATAGGCAAACATAATCCTGTTCTAGTTCCCACTCTCGGTTGGCAAGAAAAGATAGATCTGGCTGAATGGCATCGATCTCTGTAAGGTCCCAGTTGTCTGCCCGCTCAGCTCGGATGGACCAGAAGCAAGCAATGTCGGTGTCTCCGAACCAGAGACTAGTTTCAACAGTATCCCACAACAAACCAGGGCCGTCGTAGTCTTCCCCCTCAATACACTTGTACTCAATCAGCCATGGGTAGAGGTGGTAAACATGCCACCGCAGGGCCCGATAGGAATCATCCAGCCACACCTCAGTCTCAACTAGCGTCTCCAGTTCGCTTACCCATTCCTCTGAGGGTTGGTTTCCCAATAACGGCATCCGCAGCTCTAGTTGTTCTGCTTGGCGCTGGTTAGTGGTCAGGATTTCCTCGCACCGGAAGGGTCGAATTTCGTCGATGCCCTCCTTCCAGAGATCGGTACGAAGCGCCACCCTCCACTCTGTCTCTCTTTCCTCTGGGATAGGATACTCCATACTGCGCATCACATCCTGTAGTCGCTGCTGGAGCCTGGCGTCAAAGTGAGATACTGCACGGCCTTCCATCTCTGAAGTAGTGCTGGTTTTCCCAAATCTTTATGTAGACAGGGACGCTGTATGAACACTAGCGTCGCCTTCAATTTGTAAATCCACGAACTGTGTCTCTGAGCTGCTTTACCTCGCACTAGGATGCCATCCCACCGCTTGCCACCAATGTAACGGATCACCTGGCACCCCCGACTGGGTACCTCCGCTGAAGGATGCTCCTAGCGCTTCCTGAGGACTCCAAGCACTCTGGCAGACACCACAATCACCGAACCGGAGAAACAAATAAATTCTCCCAAGCATATGAATGCTGTAAACAGTTGAATAGGAACCATACGAATAGGTTTACTCTCCTAGCAGTCAAACTGGAACAGCATACAATAAATCCTTCCCCCAATAATGAGACGACACTTCACTTTGAGGGTTAAAATAGGAACTCCCTGTACTGTCACATACAGTCTCTTTTATTCCCAATCCACAAACATAGTACAGCCCACAGGGCGTTACAAAACAGCCAATCAATCCATTAATACACCCAGACACTCCCACACAAAATCCTCCCCTCTGCAGGTGATATGATTACTGAACACAATGGGTAATCTCATTATCACCGGCAGAGGAATACAGTTTTTACACAATATTTCTAACTTCTAAAATATACATGTCACAAACATAAAATATACATTTTCATAATCAATCCATTCAGGGGGACAACATATTAAAAAATGGCACGAATCAGACCAGAGGTTCAAAAGTTAAGGGAAAGTCCTTTGTGACTAAATGAAGCATGGTTTTCTGGCCCAAACCAGTTTCAGAGTCTTCTATCCTGGAGAGTAATTCAATTATCTCCCAGGATAGACACAAGACTCCATTAAGCACATGGTTGCAAAAAGACACAAAACACTTTAAAATACATAAAGTCACATTTACACATAACACACAGACATTTCACATATCCCCAGATAGCTGGGATCTGAGTGCACACTATTAGATGAATGGCACTCAGATCACACAAATAAGCCTTTCTGCAGGGGAAATAAACGGTTTAACCTGCAGGGCCATAGTCCAAAGGGAGCAGGCGAGCAACCAGGCTTCTCCAGTTCACAGTGGCGAGGTTGGTTTCGCCACAGTTTGTATTCAGCACTCTCTGTGTGTACTCAGCAGTCTGTCTGTGTGTATTCGGCAGTCGTTGCATGTATGTATTCAGCAGTCTGTGACTGTATTCAGCAGTCTGTGTATGTATTGTATGTATGTATTGCATTTGTTGGAGGTAGTAGGTACTAATAAATATAAACTTAATTGTATCTATAATTTATGTTTTTATTCCTGTGAGTTATGTAGGCAGGGCCCCAGTGCATTGCTTTGCCCGGGGGCCAATAATGTTGTTAAGATGGCACTGGTGTCTGTCAGTGAGTGTGTGTCTGTCAGTGTGTGTGTGTGTGTGTCTCTGTCCGTAAGTGTGTGTGTATGTGTTTATTAATAAGTGTGTCACTGAGTGTGTATCTGTCAGTGTTTGTGTGTCTGTCAGTGTGTGAGTGTGTGTCAGCGAGTGTGTCTGTCAAGTGGTTGTCTGTCAGTGAATGTGTGTGTCTGCCTGTCAGTGAGTGTGTGTGTGTGTGTGTGTTATTGAGAGTGAGTGCCAGTGTGTCTGTCAGCAGAGCCAGCCTTTGGGCTGTGCAAGCTGTGCGGTCATGCAGGGCGCCGTGACAACAGAGGCACCTGGCGGCCAACACAGCTCACAAGTTGGGGACACCAGCATATTCAATTTAAACGATTCCCTGGTGGTCCACTGGTACGGGCCAGCAGTAAGTGCAGTCAGATCATATCCTCTCCCTCGTGGTTCTGGTGCTCAATTAGTGACTCAGCGCACAGGCTCTGAGATTCTCAGCCTGCGTTCTGACAACACTGAAAGTCGGAGCCGCGAAGGAGTGGGTATTGCAAAGGGCTACTGACTAGCATAACATCAATATCCATTATAAAACCAAGAAAAGGTGGGCATGGATGGTGAGCTGATGGTGCAATAGGCCAGTTGACTGGATTTGTCCCCCCCCCCCCCAGGCCTGAAGCTGCCTGCCCTCACCTTTTGGCCACACACTGCTTTTATACAAAACCCCATACAAGGGGTGTATACCACACAATCCCAGGGTCCTCCCCCTCCCAGGCGTCTGCTGTGTGAGTCCCAGTCCTTTTGTCCCCTGTCCTGCCACCCAAGCACAGGTTTCCCACTTCTGATGACAGGGGGGTCTTCTTCCCAGGAATCCCTTTTTCCCCTGTTTCCGCCACCCAAATGTAGGGTCTCTCATTTCCGGTGACAGGGGGTCTTCTTCCCAATATCCTCTATACCTGAGAGTCCTGGGAAAACATCTGCCTCCTTGACTCACAGTTACAGAAAGCCTGCCAAACCAGCCATTGTCAACAAAGGATGCCCACACCAATCCCAGGGATCCCCATAACAGTGCCTGCCTCGAACAGCCTCTGTTTGCAGGGACCCTGTGTGAAACCAGGCAAGGGAAGCATCTTTCGGGATACGAAAGCTCCCCCTGCGTGCCATTCACCTATACGAAATGGCAGACACACAGAGTAGCATTCATTAAAATTACTTCCCTGGCGATTTCACACTTATGTTGCAAGTGCAAATGTTTTAACTGATTGGTGTGAACATTCTAATGGGTCACTATGGAGGTCTCCGTTCGGAAAATGAACGGGGTGGGAAGCGATCCGCGAATGCGCCCCTTGGATGGCGTTCATCTTTTCGAATGGGTGGCCACCAAGGGAAAGGCATGCGCCATGGCTTCCCTTGCGGTTTTGGCATCAGGTCGGGGTGCTCCCAGATGTCGTTGTATATGGTTGCATATGTACAGGCATACTCCTAGAGGCCATCTAGCAGTCGGTCCACCATCCTTTGGAAGGTGGCTGGGGCATTCTTCATCCCAAATGGCATTACCTTAAATTGGTACAGGCCGAATGGGGTGATGAAGGCCGACTTGGGGAATGAGGGGAAAACACAAAGAGGAATCCATGGCTTGAAGGCAGCATATAAAAAGCAAAAGTACCATAAAAAAAAAAAAAGATATTAAAAAAAATATTAATAGTAATATTATTATTATTATTGGTTATTATTTATATAGAGCCAGCTTATTCCGCAGCGCTTTACAATAAAAGGGGAATTTACCAAATGAGACGATAACAAAATGTAACAGGAACAATGGGTAGTTGAGGACCCTGCTCAAACGAGCTTACAATCTAGAGGATGTGGAGTATAAAAACACAATAGGAAGGGTATTGAGGGAGACAGCAAATAGACATGGTGGGAAAGTCAGAACTGGAGGTGGGAGTGGATTGTGGCCCTTTAGAAGAGAGCAAGAGGAAGGTTTGAGAGATAGAAGTTACTCTTGGATGCCATAAGCATTCCTGAAAAGATGGGTTTTGAGGGACTTCTTAAAGGATTGAGGACTAGCGGAGAATCTGACAGGGGTAGGCAGGCTGTTCCCAAGGAAAAGGAGCAGCCTGTGGGAAGTCTTACAGGCATGAATTTGCAGTAAGGGTGCGAGCAGCAGACAGGAGAAGGTCACCAGTAGAGTGGAGAGACCGAGAAGGGGCATACCTATGAATCAGTGAAGAAATGTAAGAGGGGCTAGAGTTGGTTATGGCTTTATAGGTAAGGGTTAGTATTTTTTATTGAAACATGTAGGATACAGGAAGCTAGTGTAAGTATTGACAGAGGGGTGAGGTGTGAGAGGAGCGACAAGAGAAAAAGATCAGCCTGGCAGCAGCATTCATCACAGATTGTAGGGGGGAAGAACGGCTTCTGGGCAGACCAATTAGGAAGGGATTACTGTAATCCAATGGGAGAGATTACTAGAGTATCAACAAGCTCCTTGGAAGCATCTTGTGTAAGAAAGGGGTTTATATGGGCGATGTTTTTAAGCTGGAGTCACCAGGTTTTAGCAACAGACTGGACATGAGGCACAAAGGTGAGGCCAGGATCAAAAATTACACCAAGACAGCGAGCTTGAAAGGATGGGGTGAGACAGGTTATGTAAACCTGCAAGGAGAGTGAAGGAGAAGGATCAGTGTTATGAGTAGGCTTACAGAGATTGAGTTTCAGAATGCGGTAGGACATAAAATCAGAGAGAGAAGAAAGGCAATTGGGGACATGTTGTAGGACAGCAGGGGAGAGGTCATAGGAGGAGAGATATATCTGGGTTTCATCAGTGTACAAGTTGTAGTAGAATCTAAATTAATTAATTAATTAATGAGTTTTCCAAGAGAGGCAGTATAGAAAGAGAACAAAAGGAGACCAAGAACTGAACCTTGAGGGCCTCCGACTGAGACAGGACGAGGAGAGGAGGAGGTGTTGGAAAAAGAGACACTGAAGGGCATTGGGAGAGATAGGAGGAGAACCATGAGAGGGCTGTGTCACAGAGACCAAGAGATTGAAGAGTTAGGAGAAGGAAGCCATGATCAACAGTGTCAAAGGCAGCATAGAGGTCAACACGAATTAGTATGGAATAGTGGCCTTTGGATTTAGCTGTGATTAGGTCATTTGTAACTTTAATAAGAGCAGTCTCGGAGTGGAGGGGGCGAAAGGCAGATTGAAGAGGATCGAGGAGGGAGTTGGAATTTAGGAAGTGAGTCATACGAGTAAAGACAAGTCTTTCTAGAGGTTTTGAGGAAAAAGGAAGCAGGAAGGATGATAGATGGAAGGGGAAGATGGCTTTTTTAGGATGGGTACGACAATAGCATGCTTAAGGGGAGCAGGGACAACACCAGATGAAAGAGCTGGGGAGAAGGTCTGTAGGGTAGAGAAGGTCCGGTCGATGGTGGTTGCAAAAGAGAGGAGCAAAGGAGGAAGAATTCTTTCCTTAGTTGTTCAATCTTGTTGGTAAACTAGCATGCAAGGCTATCTGCTGAAAGGTCAGTTTGAAGGGTGTCTTGCGGTGGGCGAAGGAGAAAGTTGAAGGTATTAAAGAGATGCCTGGGATTGCGTGAGCATGAACTAACAAGAGATTAAAAGTAGGATTATTTAGCAAGGGTGAGGGCTGTGCTATATGAATTTATAATGGAGGAAGTCTGACAAGGTGCGGGACTTCCTCCAGCAGCATTTAGCTGAACGGGAGCATCTCTGCAAGTAGCGCGTTGACTTAGTGTGCCACGGTTGAAGGCGCCCCCTCCGTGAGTTGCATGCTTGCAGCGGGGCTGCAGCGCCATCCTACGACATTTCATACATCGCTGTTAAAGTAACTGTTTCCTCTTCAGCCCCTCTCAGTTCAGTAACTACTACTCACTCCCCCTCCCATCGTGTAACCAAGATGGAGCTGGAATATGGGTGGGAGAACTCTGTAATGACGACATTACATCCGGTAGGGGGGGTTCAGACAAGACCCCTTAGACTGTTAACCAATTGTTGAATGAATACTGTATGTTAACTGTGACTCTGTACATGATGTATTTCTGCTTTAAAAGGAGCTCCCACTCCGGGGAATAAAGGATTCCTCAGGTTTTTCACTAATCAGAAACTTTGTCTCTGGTGTGAATTACTTCTAGGAAGAGCGTGCACACATTAATCAATTTGGAAGGAGTAGATAGACAAATAATCAAAGTTTGCTTTGATCTAAATCACTAGGTCCATAGGAGAGCATGGAGGAGTGAAGGGTTAACTTGTCTGTGGTGTGGAAATGGAGGTATTACAGGAGGAGAAGATGGTAGGCATGATTGGTGTGTGTGGAAAACCAGGTGGTTTGAACTATCTATAAATGTAGTGAGTACCATGGGGAGGGTGGGAAAGATGTGCTGGCTGTGAGTCCTTGGGAGCAACTTCTAAGTATGTTTGTTGGGGCTCAGACTGAAATAGAAAGTCTGGGTATAGATGAAAAAAACAACAATTATGGATGGAGAGAGACATGCAGATATTGAAGTGAGAGAGGGCAATTAAGGGAAGAATGCAAAATAAAAGAGCAGACAATAAATACTGAGCAACATAATACACAATAATGCTGATGGAACACAGAGGTTGCCCTGTTCCACATAGCAATCTGACAGAAGAGCAGGAAAGAAAATTAGATTGAATTGAAGATTTAACTACTTAAAGCAGAATTAATATTATGGCTAATATGCTATGATATTTTTTCTTTCAGCACGTTGTTGGAAATGATTTATACATACTTTGTTGCTGTGGGTGAGAAGCATAATATGAGCCTTCATGTCTAATAAATAAATCAGTAAAGCAAAAATGAAACATAAATTGTACCTTTTAAACAGTTCTGTTTCCTCTTTTGTGAGATGTGATTTACGAATAACAATTGATCTCATCTCATTTAATGATTCACATGGCAGGTTGGAAGGTTTGATGCAGTAGAAAGCTTCTTCATCATCTTGATCCAAGTATTCACACAACTCCTTGTCTGTATTAAGTTTGAAGCCACATGCTGTTATTTCATCTTGAGTAAAATTTACAAATCTGCCTTCATATTCAAGAACCCCTGAACTGGAATGCCTAGATCGCCAGAGTGCAGCAATTCCTTCACTTGGATGGAACAGTATAGCAGAAACCTGGACCTTTCCCTTCCAATATAAGGGAAAGCGGATATGGTAAGTCCCATTGTTAAAGTCTTCTATTCTTCCAGACACAGAAGCTCCGAGCTCTTTAGAATAGAGTCTTGACCTTAGGAAGTCCCCTCCATATGTCTTACTATTGCCTAAGTAGTCATACATGTTGCATTGAATCACAAGATTTTCACCAATGCAATACTGTGATCTGGGATTTATAATGGAAGCTTTACTGGTTATCCCATTTGTGCAACTTTTGAAAGAAGTAACGTTGACGTTGGGAATTAGCTTTGCGATTTTGTTGAAAACGTCATCAATTTTGCTTTGAAGCCCATTTGCTTTTTCTGGATATATCATCTCTCCTTCAATTAGAATTGTGTTCTCATGCTTCTCTGGTGCAGAGCAGTATTGTAAAGTATTAAATAAAGATATCTGAAAAGTTTAAAGACACTTATTTCACAATGTATTCCTGATTAGAAATGTTACACATGTAGTAATTTATTCTGAACACACAGTGCATATAAAACTCTTCAGACATTTGTTATTTTAAAGGACACAGATACTGAGCTTTGAAATTATTTCACCCTACATAATTAATGCAGTGCAAATTAAAAATTTTCTTAGGTGGTCATTTAGAACCGTTTTCTCATTTATGCAATCAAATTGCTGAATACATATAAAGGAACAGCACACACACACACACACACAAAATACAGTTTAAAAATTTCAAAAGCTACTTTGGAACTAAATCGCTTATCTTAACAAACAAATGTTCCCCAAATAACGGTGGGTCCTACACTAATTTTAACATGCTAAGTGCAATACTTGCTTTAAGGACTCTTAAAATTCTTCCAGAGTCTTTCCATGCTTCCTTATGGTCGCCTCAATGTGCACTCGTACTCCCTGGAGCCCTTCACCATGGGACTCGACTTTACCATTGCATTGGCACTGTCTCGCTACTTTAGTTCCCCACGCTTTTTCTGCTATTTTGCAGAGTACTGTCGAAGTCCAGTCGTTCATGGCTGTTCGCCCAGTACATGTGGCTTCCCAACACTCTGGTGCTTCCAGTACAGAAGTTTGCTTTCCCGCCAAGCCCTGTTCTTAACTCTGTGCCCCTTCATGATAGAGCCTTTCAGAGTTCCCTGATCATAGGTTCTCCCCTTGTTCTGGTGACGACTCATTTGTGAGTTCAGTAGACCATCAGGGCCTTTACCCACATTCCGATACGCTTTATTTTCACTTATATTTCTAAAATTACTGTTGGTTTATGGCAGTATTCCTAAATGTTACTACCACCTTGGCTAGTATTAACATTTGCATAAGGTTCAGCACAGTCTTTCCATGCTGTGGTCTCTTCCACATGTGGACACACAGCCGTTCCAGCATCATGTCATTTGAACTTGGGGACATCTGGGCCGCATTCGGTTCCTCATTCGGCCCCTCATGTTTGGCCTGCAGTATTGTATGTGTTATTATGTTAAATATGTAAGCTGTAATAAATTAGTTACTGTGGAAATTGAATTATATTGTAGTTAGTAGTGTGGCTTAGAGTGATATGTCAGCAGTCCTGAAGGATTCTCTCGTATTTCTGCTTGATAAGGTCTTCTTTCTTAGAGAGAAACTGCAACATTCTTCTTCATGCGATAATCTATAATACTGTACTTGGCTATATTCTCCTTCATTGGATCTATAATACTATTCTCACCAATATTTTTCTTCATGCGATACTCTATTCTACTATACTTTGCAACATACTGAAACCTATGATACTCTATTCCACTATATTCTTCAACATACTGAATCCTACAATACTCTATTCTACTATACTCTGCAATATACTGAATTGTACGATACTCTATATTACTCTACTCTGCCACATACTGCATCCTGTGAAACTTTATCCTACTATACTCTGCGTCATATTGAATACTGTGATACTCTATACTATTATACTCTACATCATACTCCATTCTGCACTACTCTATACTACTATACTATGAATTATACTGCATCCTGCGCTACTCTACTAGTACACTCTGAATTATACTGCATCCTGTGATACTCTATATTACTATACTCTGCATCATACTGCGTGCTGCGATAATCTATAATAATAATATACTCTGCTACATGCTCCATCCTGCGATACACTATACTACTATACTCTACAACTTAATGCATACTACAACACTCTATTTCACTATATTGTGCTGCATAGCAAGACTCTACGCTACTATAATCTGAGACAATTTGCTTACTGCGACCCTCTACGCTTCCATACTCTGCAACAGTCTGCATACTGCGATAATTTACACTGCTGTACACTACAACAATCTGCATACTGCAATACGCTGTACTGCTATACTCTGCTTCATACTACATACTGCAATACTCTTTTTTACATTACTATACTCTTTAACAATCAACATACTGTGCAAAATACAGCATTTAACAATACTATATACATCTATAATCTGCTACGTTATGTGTACTGATACTCTATACTACTATAATCTGCATCATACTACATATACATCAATATATATAAGTCTATACTACTGTACTCTGCTACTTGATGCATGCTTTGATACTCCATACTACTTTAAGCTACTACATACTGCCTACTGCGAAAATCTACACTACTATACTCGGTGACATTCTGCATACTGTGATACTTCTACGACTACATTCTGCAATATTATGTATACTGCAATACTCTTGACATGCGCACAGTCGTTATTCAGCATGTGCCATAACCCACACCAAACTCCCTTTAATAAGACACAGATACCAGCTTTTATGTTGGAAATAAATACCCCGTCAAGGCCCATTCCCCTAACTGCGCTGTTCCATGGGCTACAATCTAAACTACCATATTCTGCAACATTCTGCATACTGCAATACTCTACTATACTCTGCAGCTATCTCCATACTGTGATACCCTATACGACTATAATTTGCAACATTAGATATACTCTTTTCTACCATACTCCGCAACATACTGCGATATTCTATACTACTATGCTATGTTTCACTCGATATTCTGCAAAACTCTATACTGCTATACTCTACAATACGATACACCTTGTGCTTTAGACTACACTGAATAGTCTAAAGTACATGGGATCTTGATATCTACCCATGTCTTCTCCCTGTCTAGTATGCAAGTTGAAGGGGTAGACAATATGTTGTTCTCACAGCAAAGTGGTGATAGGGCTGAGGGCCAGGGCCAGGGCCAGGGCCAGGGTTGGTAGGTTCTGATATATACTGATGGTAGAATTTTCATAATTGGTGTTCTCTGGCCCTGGACATAATGCATTCTTTCAACCAATATGAATGGATGAAACAAATCATGCCCCTTGGCACTCAATTGAATCAAGGAGGTCATAGAGCTCAGTGACCCCTGTCTAGGAAAATCTCCTCCTGATCCTCATTGCCCAGGATCATGTTGAATAGGTCTTTCAAGGTAGCATCTAGAGGTTTGTCTGCCTCAGATTGGCAGCATTATTTTGTTCCTATGGCCATAATTATAAACAGGTCTGGGTGGAGAGGGAGTCTTCCATAGGAAAGAAACACTTAGGCACCACCGCTGGGTACGTCTTTAGATTTTGGCATATATGAAAGTGGTATAGCGGGATTTAGCAACTATTTTTGGTTTGGGCAAGTGGGAGTTGAGCACTTAACCCCTTAACGATGAGTGCCAGACAAGGTCCGTCACTCAGGGGATTGCCATAACGACAAGTGACGGACCACCGCTATCGCGGAAATCACGGGGTTAATGGTGCTCCGGTCTGCCTCTGTATTAGGTATCCAACAGTGCTGCCCCAGCACATGTGCTCGCTCTGACAGCATGTCAGAGCGAGCACATGTGCTTAGTATACTTACCTTCCGCCTCCCTGCACTTCCTGGTTCTGTGTGAAGTGCAGGGAGCCGGAACAGTGATGATCCTGTCCCCTGTATAAAAAATAAATAAAGTTAATTCAAAATCCCACCCCCCTTTACCCATTTTAATAAAAAATTAACCCCTTCCCTGCCAATTGATCACTGACTACATATATATTATATATATATATATATAATGTCATACTAAGTGTATTTTTATATTAATATGTACTTATATTAATATAAAAATACACTTATAATTAAATTACACACGTATATATATAATATATATAATAACTGTATATTGTATATATATATTATTATAAAATATAAATAAGTAATTTAAATTAAATAATTTTTTTTAAATAATAATAAAAATTAAAAAAATTATATAGCTATATGAAATTTTATTCTAACTGTATTTTAAAATTAATATATATATATTTATATCAAAATACACTTAGAATGAATTTGTATATATATCTATGTATATAAAAATAAATAAAAATAATAAGAAATATACATGCGTCCATATACAAAATTACATAAATAATTATATAAATATACACGTAGACTTCAAATATATAAATATGCATATATATTTAAATTCTACGTGCGTATTTATGTAATATTTTACATAATTCAGTAATTTTATTGATTGCAATTTGAGGGACCTGCCTGCCAACCCAGGCCGAAATTCCAGAGAATTTAATTTGCTAGCACTGTATTTTACCCTGTAACGTTCTACGACACCCTAAAACCTGTACATGGGGGGTACTGTTTTACTCGGGAGACTTCGCTGAACACAAATATTAGTGATTCAAAACAGTAAAAACATATCACAGCGATGATATTGTCAGTGAAAGTTACTTTTTTTGCATTTTTCACTCACAAACAGCACTTTTACTGATGATATAATTGTTATGATACGTTTTCCAGTTTTTAAACACTAATATTTGTGTTCATGTCTCCAGAGTAACAGAGTACCCCCATGTACAGGTTTTATAGCATTTTTGAAAGTTACAAGGTCAAATATATGGGTCAAATATTTTTACATTGAAAATGGCCAGGTTGGTTACGTTGCCTTTGAGAGCGTATGGTAGCCCAGGAATGAGAATTACCCCCATGATGGCATACCATTTGCAAAAGAAGACAACCCAAGGTATTGCAAATGGGGTATGTCCAGTCTTTTTTAGTAACCACTTGGTCACAAACACTGGCCAAAATTAGCGTTCAATTTAGTTTTTTTTTTTGTTTTTTTGAATATTTAATCTTTATTTTATATTTTTTTCTTTTAAATCTCATTAAATACATATGTCATACAAATACAAATATCATACAAATATACATTTATAATACAAAAAACAACACAGCAGCAAAATAGGGAGGGAAGAGAAAAATACATCAAAAAGACTTCCATAGTAGAGTGGTAATATCATTTAGATAAGTCTCATAATTATTTACAATGTTCATGGAATTATTCTACTACTAATTGATCGGCATTATTTTCTACATCAATCATCTCAATACACTTTGACCAAACAGAAATCTTATTGCTTAATCTTTGTTTACTTAGCATCAGCTCCATTCTAATCTGAAACTCGAGTTGAATTTTGACTTTCTTCCAGGGGACTTCTAAATCCCTTTTCCACCATCTCGCAATTACTATTTTAGCAGCTAAAAACAGATGTATAAGAATTGCTTTTAATTCATATGTCATATGAGGCCAATTCAGATGAAGTAGAACTACCTCTGGAGAAATTATCAACTCGAGTTTTAAATTGTTAGATATAAAATGCTGCATTTTCAACCAGAGATTTTTTAATTTATAACAATCCCACCAAATATGTCTAAAATTGCCTCTAATACTATTGCATCTCCAACAGATAGGATTTACTAGAGGGTAAATTTTATTCAATTTAGCTGGTACTAAGTACCACCTATTTAAAACTTTAAAGTGCGTTTCTAATAAATTTAATGAATGTATATTTTTCTTAACATCCATCATTGAAGAACCCCATTGATTCAAATTTATATCGATATTCAAGTCTTGTTTCCAAGCCTGTATGGCAGTAGGATTTGTATCTTTAGCTATTGATTTAATTAGTATTAGAGCTTTGGAAAGTGGTTTATTAATT